AAATCATCACCCAACATCAGTGACGCTGAGTATCGCCAGTGATAATCGTCACTTGCACCCCCTGCATGTCAAGTTGGGTCATGATGATGATGATGATCATGATCATGATGATGATGATGAATGGTCATGATGATGATGATGATCCTGATGATAATCATCGCTACGCATCCTCAGCATCACCAGCAGTTTCCGTGACAACATGATGATAAAGCAGTCATCATGACAATCATGACTACGCGTCCTCTGCATTTTCAGTCGGGTCTAACGGCACACTTGAAACGTGTGTGAAAAAGAAGAGCGCCATGGTGATGATGATCCGGATGATGCAAAAGAATCATCACCCAACATCAGTCACCGCTATGCAGCCGCAGCATCGCCAGCAGTCATGATGACAATCGTCGTTTTGCATCCCATGCATGTCAAGTCGGGTCATGGTGATGATGATGACGATGATGATGATGATCATGATGATGATAATCATCACTATGCATCCCCAGTTTGCAGTCAGGTATTGCGGCAGACTTGAATCGTATATGAAAAAGAAGAGCGCCACGGTAATGATGATCCGGATGATGCAAATCATCACCCAACATCAGTGACGCTGAGTGTCGCCAGTGATATTCGTCACTTTGCATCCCCTGCATGTCAAGTCGAGTCATGATGATGATGATCGTGATCATGATCATGATGATGATGATGGCGATGAATGATCATGATGATGATGATCCTGATGATAATCATCGCTACGCATCCTCAGCATCACCAGCAGTTATCATGACAATCATGACTACGCATTATCTGCATTTCCAGCCAGGTCTTACGGCGCACTTGAAACGTATATGAAAAAGAAAAGTGCCACGGAAATGATGATCCGGATCCTCCGCATCACCAGAAGTTACCGTGGCGACATCCTGATGATACATCAATCATGACTGCTGCGAACCAATACCCAACATCAGTGGTGATGATAATCATCACTAAGACAAGGACGAAGACAAACCCTTCCCATGCGCCTCCCCTTCGGAGAAAGGGGTCGGCGGATAAACAATATGGGGTCAACACTACTTTCCTTTTGGGGAAGCCCCCTGTCCACTTCCATGATTGTTGGAAAGAGGGTAGTCATGAATGCCTGCAGCGTTCTTACGCTCTGACCTGCTGAGCGGGTGAGCTGGTGTGCTGATCATGTGGCAGGCGTCTGTGCATGCCGAGCGGGTGCACTTGAGAGGGTGTGCTTACCATGCTGCAGGCGTGTGGTAAACGGGGCCAAGCACAAACAATCCAATCACAAACGGTGCAATCACAAAACAAGCACAACCACAACAGCAAGGGCACAAAACAAACGCAACTCAAACATCAACACGCCAATGCGCACACATGCGCACACATACAGCACAAACACCGACAAACACCAACACAAACGCAGACAACTGATTCACCACGACAATCGCAAACACGAAAGCAATGGCAAATTCACAGGACATCAAGACAACAACACACAAGCAGACACGAGAACAACAGGCACGCAAACCGGACGCAAGCAAAGAAAAACAACAAACACACCCACACACAAAAACAAGCAAGCAAACAATCCAGCAACCGAGCAAACAGGCAAGCAATCAAACAAGCAAGCGCGCAAACAAACAAGCAAGCAGGCAAGCACGCAAACAAACAAACAGGCAAAGAAACAAACACACACACACACACACACATGTAGACACACACTCGTCGCATGCGCGCCCGCCCGTCACACGCACACATGCGCACACACACACACACCTCCAAAGCAAAGGTGTCATTCAGTGGCAACCCATAAGTTGCAACTTGTGAAGGGGAATCCAGTGACCCTTGCTATGCGATTAAACTATTTCGCCCTATTTGTAGCTATTTGTTTCCGCCGCTGTTCTAGTTGATCTTTCACAATTTGTTTTAAGGGTACCCTAGACCAAGAGCAAAACCTACTCGTTGATTGGGATTTTGACTGGTTGATGGGACCGGGGGCGCAACACACAACTTTCAACAATCATTGGGTGGCTCCATTGTTCAATGGGGGTCCTTCTTAAAAAACGACCAACCCCTAAGCGGCATCCTGTTGAGTTTTCAAGATTTTACAGTTGAATGAAAGTAGATGGCACGACCTCCCTATTTAAATCTGATCATCCGATTCTAGCAAGGACGTCTAGGCCGCTAGGCCCACGACGCCCATTGTTTGCCATCATTTCAGCATTGCGGCCAGACTTCAAATGAAGGAGCCAAGCTGGGAAGGCCAAATCCTTTGGCCCTCGGAATCCTTTGGCCCTCGGCTAAAGCACGGGTCCCGATATGTACTTGACTCAGGCTTGGATCTTCGTTTCAGCGGCTTCTTTCATATTTCCGTGCGCAACTCCAAGTATTGCAGAAGTTGGGTTTCCAAACTCTTAACACACCGCTACCTGGGATTACTTGAGCATTTCCTCAAAACATTCCATCAGAATGGGGTGCTGGGGTTTATGACGCTTCCTAAGAAACAATCGTAGGGTTCAAGGCTTTTTCTGAGGGGTCCAGGCTGGGGAGGTTCCGGGGGTTGTTGTAGATACTCCCTGGCATAGGTGTCTAAATCATTTTGTTTGAAAATCAATGGCGCTCATCTGGTTTCGGTTAAGGCCTGAGCATAAACGAGGACCATCCAGGTTTATATCTCCCCGGCAACGGCGTGCCCCCACACCTAGGAGGCAGACGATAAAGGCATGCGGCCCTTGCATTGGGCAGCTCTGCAGGGCCACAAATCCGTGGTGGCAGCTCAGACGGGTGGATAGTTGTGAGCAACTGTTGGTTTACTTTGCTTTGCATTTTGGTTGCTTTGTTTTTCGTTTGTTCGATGCCGGGAATTCGGTGCTTTGGTGTAGTGTTTGGTTGCTTGGCTTGTGCTGTCATGTTTGGGTGTTCTGTGTTTAGGTCTTGCGACTTTGCTGCTATGTGGCTGTGTGTCGTGTTGGGGCCTGTTGCTCGTGTTGAACTTGTTGCGTTGTTGCGGTCGTGTTGTGGTTCCTCCGTGTGTGTGTGTGTCGGTTGCTTGGCCGTGTTGTTGTGAATTAGCTTGCCGTGATGCAATGCGTCTTGTGAATAGGTTACGTTGTTGCTGTGTGCATTGTTCTGCTGTCGTTTGTTGCACGTTGGCTGGTCCATGCTGCTTTTGTTTGTGCATTGGTCGCTTTGTCGCTGCGCTTTGCGCATTGTTTGTTTTGTTGCCGCGCTGTGCGTATTGGTCGCTTTCTTGCGGTGTTTGGTGTATTGGCAGTTGTTTGTTTGTGTGTCTTTGTTGCCGCATGTTGTGCACGGGCTACTCAAACTCGAATTGTGTATTGGGTTGCTTTCTTGTCATCGTGGTTTCTTTTGAAACAAATTTGATCCCATACATGTTGTTGTTTGTTTGCTGATATGTTTGTGCATGGTGGTTGTGTTGCAGTTGTGTTTGTGTTGCTGCTGTGTAGCGTGTCTTTGAGGTTGTGTTGCCATGTGTGTTTGTATCGGTTGCTTTGTGTGTGTGTGTCCCTGTATTGAACTCTTAGACGTCGTTTGCGCTTGGCGTTTTGGTTGTTTCGTTTGCTGCTTATTGGTTTTGGTCATGCGGCCGATCACCATGTTGTAGTTGTCCCTTGGTGGTTCGAGCATGTCGTGAGGCGCACCTTACCCACAGGCTTTGGTTGGTAGCTTGGAGGGCATGGCCTCCCATTCCATTGCAAGATCGCAGTAGGTCAGGTGATTTGCTTCTGGGTTGCCAATTTCGATGAATTTGGCTCCGAATTCTCAGCGCAGTGTTGGCCCAAAAAGTGAAGGATCACCTCCAAGATGGCACAGTTCAATTCATCACCCAGGGTGTATTCATCCGGGGGCAGAACTATTCGTTCCAACCATTTTCTTCGTTTCCGTTTCGAGGGGAATGGATTTGTTTGTTCCAAGTTCCGTCCGGTCAGCGCACGTGACGCCGACGGCCAAGGCCGCGCTGCTGCAGCAGGGCGCGCTCGCGGACGCGCGCAACACGGAGGGGCAGCGTCCTTTGGAGCTGGCGCGGGGGCGCGCGGTGAAGAAGCTGCTGCGAAAAGGGCGGACACTGGGCCGGCGTGGGTCCATTGAAGCGACGAGTCCTCAAAATCAGTGTCTGGCATTGTGGTTTGAAGGGAAAGCTTATAAATGTTCGCTTTCAATGACCCAAGCGAGTTGAGCAAGATTTGAAGATTGTTTGTCCTTTTCCTGCAACCGTCCTTTAACCACCAAAATGAAGCTTCACCTTTGCACTTTGAATACCTCATGGTCATACCAGCCAAGGCCAAAGGACGACGAGCTCTAAGCGCAAAAAGGCAGCCGCACTCTGTGCGCGTGGTCCATCGACTCGGTCTGAGTGCTGTGTTTTGGTTCGACCTTTAGCCTCGGACACGCCGGACATTGGAGCACGAGTTGGGTTGTGTCAAACGGCGACGGAGTGAGAGAGGACATCCGCCTGCTTGCAGGGAGGCATGTTCACATCCATGACAAGAAGGGCCCCCTGGTGTTGTTAATGTTGAGAGGAAAGTCATATCCTCGGATTTGCTCCCAGGACCATCTTCCGAGAACCGAAATGATTTTGATTTTGTTCCCAGGAAGAGCCATGCGGTTGACATAAGCCCGGGGACCCGCGTGTCGCGTGCAACTCGCAGAGGTTCAAGGTATTTCTTCTGAGTTCTTTGTCACGCGGCTCTCCATGCCGAGCCCAATGCGAATCGGCGTTTGATCGGACCTTTTGTTTTTCCATTCGCAGTCCTGGCAGCCCAAAATTTAACGATTTTCTGGTCCTGTGTCGATGGACCAAGGCCCGCTGGATGCAAGCGTGAATGTCAATAGCGAGTGCCCAGAGCCAAGACAAACCCAACAGTAGCATTAAATTAGTACCTTTCTGGGGCAACACCAGGAAGAGATCAACGTCTTTTCCTTCTTTAGCCGCGGGGAGGGAAATGCCGTATTTTGGTCACAAAACCATGGAAAGAAAAAGACAACAGAAGAGGTAAAGTCTCTGCCATGTCCTCCGCCGAAGTGATCCTCACCAAGCTGGGCTTGCTAGCTGGAGATGACGAGCTGGACATCTTGCCCCACTTCCACAATGTCTTCCCAGCGCCACGGGCAGTGGGAGCACACGTGGTTGTTCAGGGCTCCTTAAAAGATACAGTTTGCCCATTTGGAGCATGGCTTTTTCCACCAAAATAAAGGGACACCACCATTTACAAGGCAATGTTCAGGTGTATAATGTAAGGATCCCTGTATTGTTTCCCATCCATACACGTTCTTTGTTTGGGGAGAGCGGTGTCCTTTTCGCCGGAAGAGGCCCCCACAAGTGCCCCAAAGTGATGGGTTACAGGGTCCAGCTTGTGACTTTGACAACTCGCAAAACAATCGGACAACGGCCCTTGTCGCCTATGGGTTCCACCCGCCGCCCTAGCCAAGGACAAGTTTTGATGCTGGCCCGCATGGGCACACATGTTGCGCTTGTCATTCATATTGCCGTTGATTCAGATGTACTCAGATCCACCTGCTTTGTCCTTTTGTTGGGGGTGGGGGTGTCTTGGAAACACGCACCGCTCCCACCAACCCAGCCTGGCTTGCAAATGACATGATTTTACTATTGAGGCCGCTAAGTGTGGGCGAGATCTCTAAACTGGGTGCTAAATAGATCTATATATAAAATTTGATCTAATTGTTGTCAAAACGAACCTTCAAAGGAGGCGTGTCTTTTTTTGACGCCCCTTACTTGCCAGTAAGCAAGTCCTCAGGCTACAAAACGGCTGAGCTAGTGACTAGTGCTTCAGTTCCAAATACAGGATCCACCCGTTTGGAGTATGACCTCTATCCTTCAATGCTTTCGGGAAACGGTCCGCCCCCCTCCCCCTCCCCCCACTGGTTTGGTGGGTTCCACGTTGGTGAACAACTTTGTTCAGGGCGAAAAACCGCACCAAACTAGCAACAAGGTCCCAGTTTGCCCTCCCCCACTTTCTCCACTGGCACCCCTTCTCCCCACCTCCCCAAGAGTGGTTGACCCCAAAAAGACAGGGTTCAAATCATAATTACGCGTTGTTCACTTTTAATTTCTATGTTAATTCTAATTGGAAAATTGAACAACTCATCTTGGACAAAAAAAACTATTGAACATCTAGTTTCAATTTTGTCCACCATGGTCACTGAGCCCTTGGCTCTTTCCAATCCCCAGGTGTTGCTGGACCTCATAGCTGCCGCCGGTCGCACGGGCGAGCAAGACGCCGATCTACTGGAGCACGCCCGCGAATGTCTCGTCCACCTGCTGAAGTATCGCGCCAAGTGCCATGCCCAGACTTCACTGACCTTTTGTATATATCTAGGTCCCCCAGTAGTGCCCTTTTACCCCTTTTGGGGGGAGGGTTCCCCTACTAAAATAGACCACACAAAAAAAGGGTACCCTTATTCTAGCCTCTCTACTGGAGGACCTAGATATATATATATATGTATATGTATATATTTGCGCTTCCAACCTGATTCCAAAATTCCAGGGCAGACTCCGTCGGAAATCCCCCTTCCTACCAGGTAGGAGGAGTTTGCACTTTTGGTGCTTTTGTGCTTTCCTTCATGTTCAGCTTGTGTGTCCTCTTCTTTTTGAACCCGCGCAGGTTTGGGGGTTGGATCCGTTTTCTAGGGGTAGCTTCCCCATTCTTTCCAGGGATCCTTCTTTCTAGAAAACCACCAAGAACCCTGGGGAAATGGCTGGTTTTTGAAAAGAACGATGGCTGAAAAGAATGGGGAACCAACCCCTAGACGTTTGGCCAAGGTACCTCATCGACGACATGCCGAACTACCTGGCGCAATACGTAAAGCTCTTAAAGCACAAGAAGGCGGGGTCTGAAAATTGGGTGCTCCATTGCAACCACAATTTCTGATTTGGCTGTGGGTAAAAAAAGGCACCCAAAATGCAACCCTGGTAAATGGAAACATGGACAAAAACCTGCGGTCCCCCAGTGGTTTAATTTTGACCCACACCCATTTACCCAAAAGGAACCGCAAGGGATGAGCGATTTGTTTGGTCTGTTTGCACACCCTCCAACTTAGCACCCAGCTTGTAAGCATGTGTCTTACTCCGGGCCCGGACTTTCTGCTGGCGAACCACTACAGGGAGTTCGAAAGTATTTCATTTATTGGGACTGGGAAGGGACATTCGTTGAGAATTGTATGAAGGAGCTTATGTTGGAGTTGGTACCCTGGGTCTGGGCTGTTTTGAAGTTTGAGTGTCCTTTTCACCTTGGTTGAAAGGGAAGCCAAACGGAGCACCATACACGGCCGACATACTCTTTTTCTTTTCAGCCGTTCCCCTAAACATGAACATGTCATGTCTTAGGAGCAAAGCTTCGCTCTGTTTCAATTTTAGTTTGCAGGGGAGTAACCTTTAAGCGATCTTTCGGTAGCCTGCAGCTTCCCTCCAACAGCATGCAACAAATTGCACTGTCAAGCCAGCTGAAACTGCAATTCTGAGACGAACCTACAAAACCTGAGAATGCAGTTGAACCTACAAATCTGAGGTCACCCCAAAATCCGAGAGCCTACAAGAGCCGTTTGGGTTGGGGCCATTGACGTCGACCTTTTTAGGTGGGCATCCGTCACTTCTCAGCGGAGAGCCTGGCACTGGTCTTCCGGCGCATCCCTGGCTCGGGGATGAAGCCGGCCATGGCGGACGCCTTTCAGCTCTTGGTGCAGACCCCGTCTTCAGCGCCTCGGATTGCGAGAAGCGAAGTTTTGGTGCGCGCCACGTCCACCTCGCAAAGGAAACATGTGCGAATGTGCTGTTTCTGTGTGCGGTGCTTGTTTGTATTGGTGTGATGGTTGTGTGCCTTTGTGATTTTTCTACAGAAAGTGGTCATTTGATCGTGATTCTCTCTCAGACTGTTTGAGGAATTGCCCTTTGATGCCCCACAATGCTGGCCACCCCCCGCAGTCCTCGTTGCAAGGAGCTCCGTGAAGAAGGTCCCTGAATTGTTGTTCTTGCCAATTCGGCAAGCGTAGCAGCGTGTGCATCGATCAAATCCAGTTCTGCCATCAGTTCTACAAGGGACTTCGAGTTTCGTGGTTCGAGTATTGGTGTGCATGGGCCAGCTCTTTCTGCACTCTTTGTTTAATGATATACGTGTATAATATATGTATACATGTATTTTTATTTGTTTAAAACATGGGGCTCTCACCTGGAGGTAACCAGTGGAAAGAGGGCTAAATAATTGCAGGTCTTTGCAAGGAGCTCCATGGAAAGCTTGGTGTTTTCAAATTGAGCCCGGATCAAACGATGGCATGTGCAGAAGGGTCTGCTGTCACATCTTCAGGGTGCCCATTTTGCAAGAGTGGTTTGCGGGGCAGAAGCCATCTTTCATCGGAAGCTCCAATCAGCAATGGCCCCCCAAAAAGGAATTCGACACCATCTTAAAAGCTCAACCCCACAGAAAAGGAACACACACATATATATATATATATATATATGTATGTATATGTATACATATATATATATATATGTATGTATGTATAGCGCCCTTCTCATTTTGTCCACCTTTTGGGTCACTCAAATCTCTTCCCAATTTTTAGCTTCCCAAAGGCCACTCCGCTCTCATTTTTGGTCCCCTTGGAGCTCTGAAACCTCAGGAGCTGCAGCTCTTGGCGGACGGTTTGGGCGTCCTCTTCTTCAAGACCGTGCGGGGCGTGCAGCGCCAGTTCCGCGCCAAGACCAAGGCCGTCCTGCGCTGCCTGCTGCGGATTCCACGGCGCGCCAGCTTCGAGCAGCCCAACGGCGCCTCGTTGGCTGTTGGAAATCTCTCGGTCCGAAATTCGTTTGCTTGCTGAAAGGAAGGTGCTTGGTTGTTTGGTCTCCTGGTGGTTTTCAAGGGGATCTACCTATTGTAATGCCATTTGCTGAAAGGAATGTGTTTGTTTGTTTGGTCTCCTGGTGGTTTTAAAGGGGATCTATCACTACTGGGCATATGTTCATTTTTGTTGCAGGGGGCTTAAGCAAATGGAAGAATTCAGTCAAGGTCCCAAAAGACCTGACAAGTAGTTAGTCTCCTGACGACTCGAAAAGGGGTACCCTCAAAAAAAGAGACACCCTTGGTGTGACTGCCCGGGGTGTTCAAAGTGAGCAACTCTGGTTGTTTCCCTTTTACCTACTAGGGGGAAGGGGGAGGACCTTTGAACATGGTAAAATAACGGGGCCGGCTTAAGGGCATAGCTACGCGGCCGATCCCTGATGAAACCTGGGCAAATAGGTCCGGGGGTAAAAAGAGCGATTGCAGCTAGGGCACGGGTTCCTTACTTGGAGATTCCACATTTCCAGTTTGGATATTCCACCCAATTAGTAGATGTGTTTGTATCTCGGGCAACTAGGGTGCTGGATTTGTCTTGACCCTCTAATCGGAGGACTCCCCGAAAATGCAAGATGTCCTTGCTAAATAAATGCGGAGCCACCCCTGATTAGTACGGTCCCGCATGAATCCAAAGTGAGCAGTCACTACAGGTAGTTCTCTTGATTTTGTCACTTAGCTTACTTGTTCAACTGTTTGCCTTGGCGTTCCTTCATTTTCCAATTCAACCGGCAACACGTTAACTTGCTGGGGTCGCAGTTTGGCCCTGCAAACTGGAAGGAGGGGCCTTGAAAGCGATTGCTCGACTTGCCTCGATTCAGAGGGCAAGTCGGAGGCATCCTTGATGGCGCCCTGGTTGGGGTGGCTGAAGACAAACGAGGGAAAGGGTTCCTAGCAAGGGAGCCATGACCACAGACCTCCCCCCCCCCAGGGGGCCGTTTGAGGTGACGTGGATCTGGCGCCCGCGCGGGCGGCGCAGCTGCGGGCCGTGAAGATGGCGCTGCTGCGGATGCGGAACCACGCCCGCAGCTTGGACGACGCGGGGGACGTGGTGGAGGCCATCTTCTTCCACTTCCGGCAGGCCCGTTTCATGGGTCGTTTTTCTTTTTTTCCCATGTTAGTGTTTGGCAGGCCAGGGTGACATGGTTTCATTTGAGGGGAGCGAGCGCTCTTGACCAGAATGGAACGCCATGGGCGGCCATTTTGGCTCAAGAGCCAAAATAGCATCTGTTTTCTTTTTGTCTGATTGTGCCATGCTCGGTCATGCGGTTCGCCGTGCAGCTTGGTCCACTACTTCAGTGGACTCGGCAGCGAACCTGCTTGCCTTCAATATGTGGGCCAATCAGGCTGAAAGATCCGAGGTGGCTGCGATCCTATGCGACATCTGCATTGTGGTCCATGCCCCCTATGAGTATGTGCCCCTGGTTTGCCAGGGGCTGGACGTCATCCACGTCCCCTGTGTGGAAGATGGGTGCCTCCGTTGCAGGGATGCACGAGGAGGATACCGATTCGCCTGGCTTCACCCATCGTGGGCCCAGGCAGGATCACTCCCATCTCTTGGAGGGCGGACCCTTCCCTTCCCGGAGAACCAGAGGCAGCTGGCTTGGGAGGAAATCATGCCCTTGGTGGATACCACACGGAGCCTCGAGACCTTCTGCCCCCCCGGTCCTCCTGGACCGGCCGGAAGACACCCTGGTGCCCCGGAGGACGCTCTTCTATGTGTGGGCGCATTGGCACCGAGCTCGCCAAGGATGGGTTGACCCCCAGTTCATGGAGGACCGGAGGGGCAGGCTGGGGTCCGAGTTGCTGCAATGTGGATCCATGTTGGCGGTTTGGCATGAGCAGGCGCGGGCAGGGTTGCCTATGCTCCCCCCGTGTGGCTGGTGTGGATTGCCAACCGGGAACTTTTGTGAGATTTGTGATGGCCCCATTTGCAACGGATGTGAAGATGAGTTCGCGTACTGCCGGCGTTGCTGTACTGCACCTTGAGGTTTCAGCCCAAGACACCCCTGGTGTGGTTGGGAAGCCCGCCAGTGAAGATGCGGCCTGGTTGCTCCAGGCCTTGATGGGGACAGTCATCATGGTGCTGTTGTGCCCCCCAAGGAGTTCAGCTGCCACCAACATCAGGTTGCCTGAACCCCCGGAACCCGAGGATGTGGTGGAAGCCGCAGCCTGGGCGGCCAAGGCATCAGAATGGCGCCAGCGCCATGACCTGCAGGACGAGGGAGACTTCGCCTTCTGCTTCACGGACGCTGACCAGGCAAGGGCAGTGGGTCCCTGGATGCTACACCACTGGGTTCAGGCTAGGCGGTTCCAAATGGCAGATCTGGCCCGGGCATCCTTGGGGGCTTTTGCTGTGGAACCCATGGAGTGGTCCCCACCCCGGAAGCCCCTGCCACGCAGGCCAGTCTCTGACAGGCAGGTCCTGCCCCTTGCCCCGGCCCAGCAGGACGCCAGAGCCAGGAGCCAGGTGGAGCAGCTGGTCAACATCTTGGTGTGCGGCCAGCCCCCTGTGCCCTACGTTGTTCCAGAACGAGACAAGCAGGAGGCTGTGGCATGTTTCAAGCGGAGAGCAGAGCAGGCAGTGAGCACTAGTGAACCTGCCACCATCCACAGGGCCATTTGCACATGGGACGAGCTGGTCTGTTTTCTCAAAGGCACCAATCGCAAGTTCCATGAGTTGCAGGCCCCAGGAGTGGAGACCTTTGTCCATGCACACAAGGCCCCTGGTAGGGCCTTTACGTCACTCAAATGGCTGGCCCGGAACCTACTGCTCAGGCTACCAGTGGATCAAGTTTTGCCACCTAGAGCGTCAGGCAGGCCCCGGTGCTGGAGCCAGCAATGATCGCCACCTTGGAAGCCGCGATCCGGAACAGCCACGACGTAGGCCATCCGGCATGGTTGGGGCTCTTGGGACATTGGATCCAGATGACTGGATGTGCCCGGATGGCGCATCTGACTAGAGCCTATGTTCTCAGGGTCAGCCCTTCCATGGTCCACTGCCATTGTCCAAAGGGAAAGCAGCGGCAATTGCGAGCCTGTGGGTTTGATTTTGCAGTACCGCGCTTTTTCATGTGCACTTCTTTTGACTGGTGGAAAGCCTTCAAGCCTGCCTACTTCGCCTTGTCCCAAGAGCAACGCAAGCGGCTGGGTTTGGTTTTTGACACCATAAAGAAGGCCCCCCTGACCCGTGAGGCCACGGTCACTGCGGTGAGGACCGCCCTGAGCCAGCAGGTGCAAGAGGTGCAGATGCTGACCAGTTACTCAGCAAGGAGGGTGCTGCCGACCCTGGCCATGCTGGTTGGCATGGATCCCAGCGAGACGCTCGCCCTCTCAGACTGGCAGCTGAAGCCGGCGGATGAGCAGTCTGCCATGCCGCTGCGGTACTCGTCGGCCAGATACCACGTCTCAGTGCGGGTAAAGCTACTGCTGGTCGGGGCCCTCAGTCGAGCTATCAGTGACAGCAGAGCCACAACTTGGGAAAGTTTGGGGGTTGAGCAGTGGAAGAGCCACATAGCCAATTGCACGCATGAGGTAGACCGCATGTTAGTTGCAGAGGCACGCAGTGAGTGGACTTCTGTGGATCTTGCGGCTCGAAGCATTCGACGGTTTGCCCTCCGGTCACCTGCTACGAGTATGGCATACCAGGATCAGCCCCTGTTGGGTGCCATTCCAGGCAAGGTGCTGCGCCTGCGATTGAAGAGCACAGGGGTGATGCTGTGTGTCAACTTTCAGACTCGGCAGTGTGAGGATCCTGACTGCCAGAAGGAGCATAGATGTGCAGTCCTTTGTGGCAGCGGCCGTACCTGTGGTGGACAGCATCCGGCCATCGACTGCTATGAGAAGCGTTACCTGCGTGAGGAGCGCTTCCGCATGGATCAGGACGAGCAGTGGCCCCATGTTGGACCTAGCTCCAGCAGGCAGCCCCCATCACCAGCTTCGGGCAGTGGCCCTGAGGCATCAGGAAGCCACGAGGCACCGGCTGGGGATTCGTCGGGAGGCGTCCCCTTGCCAGTGCGGCCCATGCCCAGCCCATCTGGTGCTGCGGGAGCAGTGCCAGAGCCTCTGCACCCCCCGTCTGCGGCAGCCCTAGCCGCGAGTCGGGGCAGGAAGAGGGCCCGAGATGAGGAGGTGGAGATCATCGATGAGGTGGCGAACTTGGATGCGGAGGCTGATGAGGTCTATGACCAATGGGCCCACGAGCGGTGGAGCAGGCCAGGCCACAGCGGCCAGCCGGAGCCACCTTCCAGAGTGAAGCTGGGCCCGGGGATGGGCAGCATCTTCATTGGTCCCTTGCCACACCGGGAGGCTGCGGAGTTCATCCAGGAGAAGCGCATCACCCTGGTGATCACTCAAGTATGCAGCGGCCGATACCCGCGACAGGGATCAGGAGCTCATGCCCACCTGGCACGCGATCGAGGCCACGGTCAAGCATGGGGAGTCGGTCCTGATCCACTGCATGGCTGGTGTCCACAGGGCACCATATGCAGCTGCCCCACCTATCGCTGCCTTGATTGGGTGCTCGCTGCAGGAGGCCGTGGGCCGGATCCGGGCTGTCCGGGCCGTGGAAATCGAGAAGATGTGGACAGGCCGCAGGGGGGAGGACCATTGGGCCTGGGCTGCTCAAGCAGTGCGGCGGATGAAGGGACGTCAAGCTGCAGCAGCCCCCATTGAGGGGTTCCAATTCTCCACGCGCCCCAACTCACAGGTACACGCGGTGTCAGATGGAGTTCCTCTTTGCCAGCAAAGACGAGGCGCTCGCGGAGGGCTAACAGGTGAGAATGTGCAGATAGACACAATCTTCGAGGCTTTGGCATACAACCGCGCCTTGTGCGGAGAGTGCAAGGCTTTGCTGCCCGGTTCCATGAGGGCGCATTGCGGCTAGCTGTGTGCCTATGTCCCCCGTTGCCCTTCTTCTTCACAATGGCTTTCTTAGCAATACACGTATGCCATCTGTTCGGTGATATCTGTTGCCATCAGTTGTCAGCTGTTGCTACCAGTTGTGTTGAATTGCGAGGGCCTTTTTGGGGCTGGCCGGTGACATACTTCTGCGCCGGGGGCAGTTTTCCATTGCACGCCCTCTCTTTTCAGAAGTGCCAGGTGTCTATCGAAAACAGCGGGGGGTGGGGCTCTGCAGCCCATCTTGCACGCTGTTGTTGAGTGTCTGGAGCCATAGCGGCTACCCTTTGGTCTCCAGGCATTGCACTTGATAGACCTCTGTTGCACGTGCTCCGCAGTTGCTAGCTAGTTCGGCTCAGGTCGCAGGCTGTCCGATGGCTGGCGCTGCTGGCAATGCCACCCTGCCTACTCCGGATGTCGTCTTCCGCCAGTTGGGGAAGGACTTCGCGTTCGAGGATGTGGTGGTAGAGCACCTTGTCCAGCAAGGGCTGCAGAGCCTGGAGGAATTCAGGTTTCTGTGGCACCAGGAGAGTCAGGTGGAAACCTGGCTGACTCAGGTGAAAGTCACGAATGCCACCCTCCAGGCCTCCAGGCTTCGCAGGGCTTGGCACTCAGTGAGGCTGCAGGCGGACGCGCGGGAGCGTGACCAAAGCCGAGCCAGCGTCCAGGATCTTGACGACCCCCTGGCCGACTCCGGCTTGTCGGACTTGAAAACCACCTTTTGGCGCCGCTACAAGCTGGTGTTTCCACCGGAGGTGCACCCAGCGGATGTGCTCATCAGCAGGGTTGCACGGGAGTGCACCAAGCGCATGTTGATGGTGACCAACATCTGGCAGGTCACGACCAGCATGAAGCGCCAGAAGCTTGGGGAGAACCTGTACACTGACAGCCAGGAGGAGGTCCAGCCTGCCCACAGGGATGTGGGTGGGTACTTGGCCAGGCTCTACACTTATCTCCTAGCACTAGCCATGGCCGGGGTGAAGGCCAGGGATGGCGCCCCCGATGTTGCCCAGGAGAACGTGGTGGGAGCCGACACAACCAAGTTCGTGGAGATTCCTCTGGATGTTGTGATGCAGTATCACTTCCGTGCGGCCAGGACGGCAGGGGCCCGTGCAGGGATGCAGGCCCTCACTTGGCTGGAGCAGCAGGACACGCAGGAGCGGGCGCTCTGGGTCCAAGTGT